AGTGTCCAAAACTGAACACTTCTGCGCTCAAGAAGCGAGGCCCAACAGCATCTATAGCAGCTGAGAAGTACCTCACTGCTCGATCTGCCGACATACAGCATAACCAATTTTGACCGCGTAAGCAGATCGTTTTGTAAATGTAACTGTTCAAATGTTGACTGCTTTGCACGGCGAGCTACAGCGGGGTAAAAGTTGTTAACTGCATTTTACAGCGAAACAGTAGGAATGCATTTAGGCTGCTGTGCACTGTCAAACCAGTGAAAAATGCAATGCATAAAGAATTTAGTCGGCGTTATAAGGATATGTGCTTTCACGCCTGGGAGGTTCCCAGTACTTGAGTTGTGATAAATAAAATCGGTTCATTTACCCAATGTTCAACTCATTAACAGCTGCTGTTTAGGTCTGTGCTTGGAAAGCAGAAAAGCAGTTTAAATTTTGCAATAGCGTCCTTCATTTGAAGGACTTTTCAAAAATCGTACTGCATTGAACGGCACATTGGCAATTTAGAAATTTTTTCAGATCCCTCCCTGTGGTCATCTCTGACGTCCAGCTAAAAATTCTCTTTTAGAAGACACACAGCAGTAAAGAACTCCTTATTTGAATCTACGCTTTATTGATTATTGCAATAATGCACTTGCTTGAGCAGCAGGATTTTCCTAAATTGGAATCTGAGCAAATGAACAAACTGAGTAAAAAAAACTTGCCTATGTCTGCTAAATGTCTTCTCACTATCATCTTTTTACTTAGAACCGCTCCTTTCGCCGCTTCTCACACAGTTTATTCGATCTATTCACAAAGATACCCACTGTTTCTTTTACATCTTTCACTATTCCCTCAAGGATTTCTCTGCAAATTCCTACCAAAAATGATAGGACTTCACGCTGCCTCTCCTTATATAGGTAACGTCTGCTAAAGCTCTCCCTGGTTTGTATAGCATACCTTTACTTTGGTCATTTAAAATCTCTGAGTTAAGTCAATGCTTTTTCACTTTTATGTCTTTCCGCAGTTGCATGCCATCCGAGTGAGTCACTGATCGATCAATTATTACCGATGCTTTTTTCTTTTACTAATCAACTCTGTAGCTGGACATTTATGCATGATCTCCGTTGATGTCTGCACCACCAGGTCCCAACACACCTTTGCTTTTTTTATTTTCTTGTACTGCTGTTGTTGCTTGGGCGTAGTAAATAATTGTTAGTCTATAAAAGCCACATATTGCAAGGTATATAGCCCTCAATGTTTGGTTATGCCTTTCCGTACATAACGATCATAGCCAATAAAAACAGTGACTGGTCTTGCGTCTGTCTCGAATCTACTGCGTCATTTCCGGCCCACCTTTTTCTGTCTATTCTTTCCAACTTACATCACAGCTCCAAGCTCCTCTTCGTGCACTACCGTGCAATTTCTGACCGTTATGCTGCCTGCCATTCCTTTATTCAGCCATACCCATGTTATCCTCACGTCCAATGCTCGTGCCCATAATATTTTTCTTGACTTTCTTTCACTTGAACTTTCAAACCACTTATTTCAGTGAAAACCTTTAAGAAGTGCATATCATTTAAGTTTTACCTCTTCCATATTTATTTCTACTACTCGCTCCAGCTGCACTTCACCTCCAGTATAACCCATGCGTCTTCCAGTATTCTTTTTCTACCTTCCAGAACTGTATGCCTCTATCTTATATTTAAAATTTTAAAATTTCTTTGCTTTTCTGAACCTTGATTTGAGCAAAAGCTTGACCTTAACTTCCACCATCGTCTTTTCACATTAAGGTAAAAAATAGTCCCATCTAAATCCTCCCTTTCCCAGAGCTAAATACACCCTTCCTTCCGCAGCTGAACAAAATATTGCCTTCTTTTGCAGTAACAAGTCCTTTACTTTCTTCTCTAAGTTTTTCCGGGAAGCTACCATTTGATCCATTCGTGGTCATAAGTCTCTCTCCATTATCGCCCATTATCGTGAACTCAGCAATGGAATTTTTGAGTATGATCTCAAAGATCCTTGGGTTGAATATTAACGCTGCGAAGCGTGCGCGTGTTACTGACTTATCCATCTCACCGCCATGCACGAATCTAATGTAGTAGAAATAATGGGAATCTTGGTTGTCTTATTTACAAGCAGACACCCGATATCCAACGGGGTACCGGGGTAGACTACAAGGCGACTGCAGAGAGCGTGATATATTTCCTCAGGTTATGACGTTGTTTAGAAAAAAGCTGTTGATGTCGATAGGTCAGAAAGCGCGTGTAAACAATAACATTGCTACTCCGATGAATTACCTGTAAAGAAACGTTTGTAACCATGTATATAGACTGTGTATACGCGTGGTAGTGCGGTAAGTAATACGGAAAAGGTTTGTCTCGCTGCAGATCTATGAATGATAAGAACACGTGTAACAGCACATCTCAAATAAGGTTGAAGAGAGCCCAAATTTTAGTTTCGTTGTCTCACTTTATGTCTGCTCATCAACTGGCCGTTCATTGCAAAGTCAAAGACGACTACGTGTAAGAGAACAAAGGAAGTGTAAACCGTTAGTGAAATGTAGATAATATTGATCGCACCCATGAGGAATAAATGCAAGGTTCTTGAAGACCGGTAAAATGTCAAAATTGTGGTTAGAAACGTATTTGAGCTGAGCTTTTTCAGCTATTCACTGATATAACCGATTGGGCCAGCCATTAGTTAGACGTTTTCGCAATAAAAGATGGAAAATGCCTAGGGTAGATGTTAGCCATGAGCAGGTCGAGCCAATCGCCATTGATGGGGAAGTGTAAAAGAGTGGGCGGGAGGAACCGACAGGCTTGAAATGAAATGTTACAGCATCCGAGAGCAAGCTTCCTCATTGCTGGTTTAAATCCGTGCGTTCATCTCTGAACTCCAGTTAGGACTCACCCAGGTGTCGCTTATTTTCTGCTCTTAACCACTGCTTATTTTACTGTGCTGTTATTCTGTACATTGTGATGAACAACTTATCAAAGGAAGCCATTTTGACATTTTTTGTCCCTTGTTACTTCAGCCAATCCCTTCTGCTAGCGTGATCTTACTTGTAGTGTTGTTCGCTTGTTTTCTTCACTCATCTATTTCTCTTTTTAAGTTCGGTGTCTTGTGCTTTTGTCCATTTTTTTGAATAACCTCGCTGGATTTGTCGGTTGATCCTCAGTTTTGCTTTTTTGATAAATTTGCTAAGAATGATAAAAACCAGTCACTTAATTCACGCAGTTTACTCAATAATGCCACAAAAAACCTTTCGAATGAGTTGCAACAGGCACTCCAAGGAATGTCATGTTTTTCAAGACTATAACTTCCTAAACACATAAAAACCATTACGGAATCACAATATATTCACTGTTATTTTCCAAGAATTCAAACTGTTGCGACAAGCACGCATTTCATGTTGGCGAAAGCTACAGCATTACTATGGAGGTTTCGTGTAAAATAAGGCAGCTGACTAGAAACCACTGTTATTCCAAACCTTTAACTTCACCTTTTTGTGTTCAAATAATTTGCAGATCCAGCTGCAGAATCTGCAGAAGTACCCAATATCAAACCAGCTACGCTTTTACTGTTTATTACTACCCATCCGACAGAAAAAATGATTCGCCGACCACGCAAGATTTCTTTTGAAAAAAAATAATCGAAATACTACCAGTAAAATGAGAAAGCTTTTAATCAGCAGTAAGGACAATTGCAAAAAAAATTCAAATGTCTCATATTTTCTTCTGTAATTTTTACGACCAGATCAAAATAAATGAAAAATCACGACTGAATGTTAAAAAAATTTCACGTTCTGCAAGAAACCATTCAGGATAAAGATTATTAGCAAATCCAGAGCATAATTTGTACTTACTATAAAACAAATAAATCTGGACCAGAAACTATATTAATCAAACCTTATCTGCCTCATCTGTTAAAGCAAATAAACAATTAACTCGCTAATAGCTGTAACAGCATACTATATAAAAGTTTAAAAATTACGATTTAAAAAACAACCCGTGGAACCAAGTCCTCGCCCTCTTCTTCTTTAGAGACAACTCTTCACGTCCCCTATCACTTGTCCAATAACTGGAATACTCCACGGGTTCCCCAAAAATCCCGCTGTTGTAATTCAGTGGATACTTTTTCAACGTCTCATCCGAAACTATGGCTTCAAAACCTAAAAAACTGCTACTTATCCTGTGAAAAAAAAGCGTTTCAGAAAATTAAGCACTTCAAAATTTTGTGAAATTTGAATGTAGCACTGCCAAAATTCTATTGTTCTTTACTGCTCAAAAGAAAAATTACTCGAAGTTGCTATAAGTGGTGAAAAAAAACAGGCAAATGTTTTAAGAAGGAAGAAGCATTGCTTTCAGTCTTCTGAAAAAAAATCCTCTACAATGAAAGTGATTTTAAGCTCCCTACAACTTGCCCAAACTGTAGTAGACGATACAATGAGATTTATATAGCGGTAAGACTTGCAGATGCTAATTACAGTTCACCAAAGTGCCTATAATTTGATTAACCACTATATCTTATTAAGTGTGCAGCACTGAAACAAACGGAAGTGCATCTCCTGCAAAATTTAGCCTAATAAGTCACCAAACCCCAATACGTAGCTGAGCAATCAAAACAGAGCAATTTAAAACTCGTCATCTCAAAGAAAGAAAGAAGTTTCAGAACAAACAAACATTTCAATTTTTGTTCCACATGTGCTTCAACCAAGCCGTTCTTGAGATCCGCAGAAAGCTGCTTGTCAAGCTCTTTCTCCAAAAACATACGAAGATCCCTTTCCGGTGCTTTGCACTTGTCCCGAGGCCAACGAGAAAGCACTTGCATGAAGCGCTGGTAGTAAAAAGATTTTACTGGCACGCTCTTCATTACACGTCTAAAGATGTTTGATTCTTGTAAACTTTACTTAGACTCTAAAGGTCAACTGTATATTCTTGCTGTTCTGCTCAAAAACTGCCAACGAATAATGATTAGTAGAAGCTCCAACTTCAATATTTAAAGTTTTCTATGACTAGAGGACCAAGGCCCGCAAGATGGCATAAAGATATTAATTTCTTGCTGGCGCTTCAGAAGCTTAGTGTGCGCAACCCCCCTCTCCTCCCCCAAGAAAAAAACAGACCTTTTTATTTCCAAAAAAAACCCTAAAGGCAACGACAGAAAGATATGCATGCATACCGGGACAATCTCAACTGATCAGATATGAAACTTGTTACAAACATGACCCTGAAACAGCTTTCAATTATTCGGGATCCCTATTTCAGAAAGATACAATAATCGTTAGAAAGCTCTAATGACATGCAAGTGACCTCATTGATTTGGTTAAAGGTAATCTATCGTTTTCTTCACAAAAACGTTACCCCCTTCAGCTGCACCCCGTTTCTTGTAAAAACCTGCTGTAGCTCTGGAGATTTTCTTCTATTCAAAACGTTCATTTTTTAACCACCCTGTATCGTTTAAAAAGCTTTGAAAACCGGCTAATTTTCTCTGTTGGTTTGATTAGGGGGTCGCAGGTTGATACCTTAAGTTACATGTTCTTTATTGCGTTGTTTTTTTTTAAGAGCGTGTGAACAGTCCGTGGCATTGCAGCGCGTAGTGCAAATAATACAAGGAACCCCCGCATACCCCTACAGAAAAAGAAGCCGGCGGAAATAAAAGACACTTAACTTACAAAATCGAACCTTGACCGCTAGTCAATTAAAACAGTTCAGTAGCTCGTTCTTGGAACTTCCTACTAGGCATACGGCAGTTGCGGAATGAACGTTTTCAATGGATAAAAAACCTTCTGGAATGACAAAAAAAAAAAAAAAAAAAAAAAAAAAAAAAAA